ACTGGAACAAGATGGGTGTTACAGGGGCTTGATAAAATGGCCACCTGGGCTAGGATGAAGTTCAAACCGGCTAAATCCAGAAGCCTCGTTATCATCAGGGGAAAGTAGAATCGAACACATTCACTCTCCAGGGAGAGAGAATTCCTACTGTCAGTGAACAGCCCATTAAATGCCTCTGTGATGATTCCTTGAACGACATCAACAATACGAACAATGTTGTGTGTGAGCTCAAGAGATGGCTCGGAGCGATTGACAAATGCCAGCTCCAGGGCAAGTTCAAGGCATGGGCGTTCCATGGAATTATCTCAAGACTACAATGGCCGTTTCTGCTTTATGACTTCCCTATGGGCACGGTTGAGCAAATGGAGAGAATGTCATCAAGGTTCATTAGGAAATGGCTGGGTGTACCACCTTCATTCAGCAGAGGTATTCTATTCAGTAAATCTCCCAAGCTAAGCCTCCCGGTAACTTCAGTACTTGAAGAGTACAAAGCAGCCAAAGTAAGAGCAGTAACCACTCTACCCTCTTCAAAGGACAATAAAGTTACTAGCTCGGGAGAAACAATATCGAGCGGGAGGGGATGGAATCCTCAACAGGCAATCGGTATTGCTGAAAGCCAACTCCGTCATAAGGACATAGTAGGTGTCGTTTGCAAAGGCAGGATGGGCCTTGGAAACTATGGCACATCCAGGTGAAAATAAGCCAACACAGAGACAAGAAGGAAGCTTGTAGTACTGCAGATAAGGCAATCAGAGGAAGAGGGTAGACAGGTGAGGTTAGCACAATTAGTCGAACAAGGTTCATGGACCCACTGGGAGTCTACACTCGATCGACAGCTCTCATGGAAAGACATATGGGATATGGAGCAGGGCAAGATTAGCTTCTTATTAAGAGCAATATCTTATCGTTTACCATCTCCTGCCAATCTCACTACCTGGGGTCTTAATGTAGATGCATCATGTATCCACTGTGGAGCTCTGAGAAGTAACATCCAACACATCCTGAGGTCGTACAAGGCTGCACTTGCAGAGGGAAGGTACACATGGAGGTATGACAAAGTTCTTTAAAAGATTTCTCACTGGGTGGACCAATCACGGATCATGAACAAAACGAATGCAACTGTAACACCAGGACCAAGGGCAGATATGTTGCAACCCTCAGAGAAACATTTTGTGGGTGCTAACGCAAATCCTAAAGGGAAGGTTTTGCCTAGCGGTAGCAGGCACACCTCTCGAGGAAGATATGGCATCTTACAACAAGCACAGGACTAGGAGCTGAGAGTAGATCTACACCAAAGACTCACATTTCCCAGCTGTATCACGACAACAAACCAAAGACCAGATATGCTTTTATTCTCAGAGGATAAAAGAATTGCTGTTATGATAGAACTGACAGTACATTGGGAAGATCGCATTGAGGTAGCACACCAACTCAAAAGCGCAAAGTACCAAGATCTGGTTGAGGAGATAGAGGCCAAAGGGTGGAAAGTTCATTACTATCCTGTTGAAGTAGGTTGTAGAGGATTTCCATCAACATCTCTCAACCGAATGTTCAAGAATGTAGGACTCCCACCCTCATGGCTCAAGAGAGCGAACAGAGCAGTTGGATCTGCAGCAGAGGAAGCCTCCCGCTGGCTTTGGCTGAGGAGAAATGACAAATGGGCACAGGGGAGACAACATTAACCAATGACTTATTTGACAATTGCTAATACATTCACCGAGGGTTTGTTCACCATCCCTTTACCAACAAGGGCAGAGTAGTGCGTACAGCAGGTAGCGCTTAAAGGTCGACCAGTCTGGCTATAGTGGTGTTCAAACCATCGAAGAATTTAAAGGTTGGTACCAACATGACAAACTGACCGAGTGAGTTAAAAGGCAAGCAGAAACATCGTAGCATAGCACTCTCTTGTGTTTAATCAAAGAAAGAAGCAAAGAATAACATTTTGTAATATTTTGCACTGGTATAACCATGCACAGTAGAAGAATACACAGAGTTACCCTAAATTGTAGAAACATAAATATGTTATGTTTCTAACATATAATTAATAAATTCATATATCCCAAGGATTTCACCTGTTCCCTTCCTGACCAAACCTTGTTTTATTTTTGATTTTTTACAATAAAATAAACTACTCTATCATTTTTATTTCCATATGTTATTGACATGAGAACTCAAATGATCAATGGGAAAACAATGCTAAACTTGCACACTGAAATAGGTATTCCAGCAGGCCTAGGAAAATATGGCTAGAAAAAGATGCTACACCTAAGGGCTACAGGTGGACACACTATTTCCCCTGAAAAGTATTTTAAGGGTCAGATCTCTAAATTCATGATTGCATTGAAAAGCTTTGAATGCTAATTTTCACGAATGGATGTATTACAAAAGAAGAAAATATGAAGAATTCATATCGTTTATTTTGAGTGATTATTTAGTGCCAAGTTTTGTTTCTAGTGACAGCATGTTACTGAATATCTCATCAAGTGACCTAAACTACAGCAGCTAAAATAAGCATACCGAAATATTATAATTTAGTATGATTCAGTGAAAGGGATTATACAGTTATAAGGGATTAGCAATTTATCTATTATCTTACAATTTAGCTCAATTCTTGAATTTGAAGATCTACTGCTACATTGTTTAATATGCATTATAACAGATCGAGTTGAAAATATGAAGAATTCATATCGTTTATTTTGAGTGATTATTTAGTGCCAAGTTTTGTTTCTAGTGACAGCATGTTACTGAATATCTCATCAAGTGACCTAAACTACAGCAGCTAAAATAAGCATACCGAAATATTATAATTTAGTATGATTCAGTGAAAGGGATTATACAGTTATAAGGGATTAGCAATTTATCTATTATCTTACAATTTAGCTCAATTCTTGAATTTGAAGATCTACTGCTACATTGTTTAATATGCATTATAACAGATCGAGTTGATGGTAAGAACTAGTATGTGATATGATTGATTTTACCTTTTTGTTAGAATATAATAATACCATTTCAATTCATGATAACTCACTTATTGTATTACTTTCGCTTGATACACATCCTAGAAGATATGCTTTTAAAATAAGTAAACCATTACCAAAACTATGGTTACCCTGTAGTAGTGAAAGGCACATTAAAAATGAATATCACCCCCTTCAATCTATTTTTACAGGTTTTTATGATTATTTCCATTTTTCTATATTTTGCGTAACCAGGACGGTGAATTTTCTTCAAACATTTTGTCTTACCAATATTTATAATATCTGTCAATTTCAAGAAAATCGCGTCGTTACGTTTGAAAATAATCCAAATTATGTCATTTTTCCCATTGAGCTCCATTATAAAAATTGAATTTTCAAACTTAATATTTTAAAATTCTACGTGCTGAAAAGTTGCATATTGAGTAGTTAGTTAATGTTATGGTCTAAAAAATTCAAAACAAAAAGGAATAAAGAAAAAATGCCACGGAGAAGTCTCATTAACATCTCTTTAAAGCGTCATAATCGCATCAATGCGTAATAATGCTTACCAAAGCGTGATTTTAAGCGTAACAAAAACTGGTCGAAGCGGGATCATAGCGTGAGGAACCGTAACAAGTCGGGAAATCAGAGCGTATCAGAGCTTATCAGAGCGTAACATTACTTAGGAAATCGTGATATTTTTGGAAAAGTAAACAAAAATGACGGCGCATTGCTCGCCGATTTAAAGCGTTGCATTCGTTGTTTGTGTGAACGTAGCTTTAAAAATGTTAGGCGCTTTTGCCGAATATCCCGATTTACTCCGAGCTTTTCTACGACCTATTACGACCCCGACGCTTTAATCAAGCTTTGTTACGCTTTGGTGCCGCTTTACAATCCGCTTTAAAGCGCCATCAAAGCGCCGTTGGTGTGAACTTAGCTTTAGGTACTGTATTTTTGACACAATAAACAGATTATCAAGAAACTTTTAGAACAAAATTCACATTGAATGAACTAAATAATTCTAAAATTTCAAGGCAAAATATCATTCGAGTTATTCAACTTTCTTACGGTCCTGTTTTTTGGACACCCTATATAAATTGTGGGTGTATAAATTCCTTAAGTTGACATGAAAACTGTGAAGTGAGGTTAATTTTTGAAAATGTCAAGGAGTACGGGTGCTTTGGTGTCACATTTGTAAGGAGCATGAAAATGTACTTGAATGGATTGTTAAAGTATAATAAAACTCAAACCATTGTGGATTCTAAATATTCCATGTTCCGCATTTTGTTTGCTGGGATTTTTTTTCAGTATAGAGTAATCCTCATTCGTGTGTCCATCATTTATAAAGCCTAAACCAGGTGTATCTATATGATAATTATACTGCAATAAATAAGATACTAGATATAGTATACTTAGTGATAATCGATACCACTTGGTGAAGTCACAAAACCTGTATAAGGATTAATCAGGAAGTCTAGAAGTAGTTCTTCGATATTCCTTGGTTTGGTAAGATGGTTTGTGGAAATCTTGGATTCTCGCAAATGTGTGACTGGTGCACTACTCCTTGAAACTTTCAAAAATTAGCCTCATTCATGCTAGCTTTGGGGATCCATGCACCTCCATTTCATAGTAATGAAAAATGCGTTTAAATGTGATGTTTTCTTCAACATGTATTTAAGGATCAGGAAATGCATCCACATCTAAGGAAAACAGATACAAAATATTTTTCAGAAAATTATGGCTCCATTTTTGTACTTTTGATTAACTTAGCTGTTACCTTAACAACGTTGTACTCAAAAATAAAAATGTCGCAAAATGTTAATGTAAAATGTTGACATTTTTCTTGGAGCATAGGCTTCTATTTTGATACAAGGCCTATTTTAGCAAATACTTTATCTTAATGAGGCCATTACTAAATTAGGTTCTCTTGTTTCCAGGATTGTATTAGTTTGCTATCCAAAGCAATACAAGCGCATTTTTACTTGGAGAACTGCACCAATTTTTGCTCTTATACCTTGGTGTATAGCCTCACTCACTTTGCTACCAATGTTCTTAAGTTGGGGTGGGATGGAGTTTGACCCAGAGAGCATGATATGTTTGTTCGACTTTGATAAAGTGCCATCCAATATGTTCGTTGCTGCTGTACTGTGTGTTTCGGTCAGTCTCTCTTTTGTGTCTATCATCGTAGCACATCTCAGAATTAAAGCAAAAAGACGGCAGGTACAGTAAGTTTGATCTTAAATACATGGTCGGTTTCTACGGAAAGCGAAAGGGGATATACCGCAGAATTTAAAATTCAATGGAGTTTTAACATGGGAGTGATATCACACACCGCGGCCCAGTCAGATAGATTTCTGCGCACTTTACTTATTTAATTCACTTTGCACAACGCGCCCCCTGTAATTCATTCAGTGCGCGATTAAAAAATGGTTATGAGTGATATTGCACACCGCGGCCCACTCAGATCGATTTCTGCGCACTTTATTTATTTACCCAGAAAATATCGTGCTAAAGGTAGTATATGCTGGCGCGATGGAAATACAGTTTTCTGTTAATAAATACCCAACAAGAAAGGGTAGCACAACGAATTTAACTTTTTTCGAAAGACTGCAGACTTGACCCGCGAAATTGTAATTTTGGATCACAGTGATGCCTCTAGAGAGGATATCTATGAGAATTACAGATTCGAGTGTGGGAAATTAAAAAGTCAAACGGACCTCAAAATGGTTTACATTAGTACACAGTGTACACTGCCATCTTTCAAAAAAGTGTGTACTACACACCTTCGTATACAAAATACCAGAATGATTGATGTAATACCCGTATACCATTTCTTCTGGGAGAAGGAAAGTTTCTATATGTATTCCAGGACCGTAGCCAGGGGGCCTCACCCCCTCCCCCTTGCCAAATATTCGTTCAAAATCATGCAGCTTTTCACCATTCTTAGCACTTTTCCCATGGTTTTTTGCCAAAACTGTCAAAAAGCTCCCCCTCTCTTGGCAAAATCTCCCCCTTGATAAAACCACTCCCCCAGGTTAATCCAGGATACGGGCCTGTATTCTTAGACGAGATTGTTTAAGAACGTAAGGTAGACATAAGTGCTACCTGTTAAAAGCTAGGATATATTTTCTAAGTTATTAAGTCATCAATCAGCAGACTGGTAATTGTATCCCCCAGTCCCCACCCACTTCAAACTCCATACACTAACATACTATTACAATTTAAAATCAATTATATCTGTGTTTATTTGACAGCATTTGCACTGCATTGTATCTTATTGCCGTATATTGTACTGTATTGCATTGTATTATATTATATTGCACTGCATTGTACTTTATTGCACTGTATTGTATTGTACTGCAGTGTACTACATTGTATTGCGCTGCATTGTATTGTATTGCACTGCATTGTATTGTATTGCATTGCACCACATTGTGTTACACTGCATTGTTTTACACTGCATTGTATTGTATTGCACTGCAATATATTGCACTGCACCATATTGTATTGCACTGCATTGCAGTGCACTGCATTGTATTGTATTGTACTGTATTGAACTGCGATGTATTGTATTGCACTGCATTGTATTGCACTGTACCACATTGTATTGCACTGCATTGTATTGCAATGAACTACATTGTATTGCACTGTATTGAACTACATCACGTGTAATCTTTATGCATACGCCCTCTTTTAATGAACATTATCTTTGAAACCATATTAGAATCGAATCTGATAAAAGTGCGCATCATGGTCCTGGATGTGCTGCGCGCTAGAATCGGGAAATCTCAAAGTTCTCCTCGTTAGAGTACGGAAAGCGATAGGGGACCTGCGCATAATTCAAAATCGAATGGAGTTTTAACATGGGATTGATATCACACACCACGGCCCAGTCAGATAGATTTCATCGCGCACTGAATGAATTACAGGGGCCGCGTTGTGCAAAGTTAATTAAAATAAAGTGCGCAGAAATTCATTCAGTGCGCGATGAAAAAATGATTATCTGTGAATAAATAACGAATAAATATTCGTGGCACCACGAATTTGATTTTTTTCGAAAGACTGCGGAGTGAACCAGCGAAATTACAATTTTGGATAATATTGATGGCTCTAACGAGGCGAACTTTGAGATTTCCCGATTCTAGCGCGCACTGTGTACTACCATTTTGAGGTCAGTTTGACTTTATAATTCTGCGCACTATAATCTGTAATTCTCATAGATATCCTCTCTAGAGGCATCACTGTGATCCAAAATTACAATTTCGCGGCTCAAGTCTGCAGTCTTTCGAAAAAAGTTGAATTCGTTGTGCTTCCCTTTCTTGTTGGGTATTTATTAACAGAAAACTATATTTCCACCACGCCAGCATAAACAAGATTCAGCGCGATATTTTGAGTGTGTTAATATTCTGGCTAAATAAATAAAGTGCGCAGAAATTGATCTGACTGGGCCGCGGTGTGCGATATCACTCATAACCAATTTTTAATCGCGCACTGAATAAATTACAGGGGGCCCGTTGTGCAAAGTGAATTAAATAAATAAAGTGCGCAGAAATCTATCTGACTGGGCCGAGGTGTGTGATATCACTCCCATGTTAAAACTCCATTGAATTTTAAATTCTGCGGTATATCCCCTTTCGCTATTAGAGCCATCAATATTATCCAAAATTGTCATTTCGCTGGTTCACTCCGCAGTCTTTCGAAAAAAATTCAATTCGTGGTGCCACGAATTTTTATTCGTTATTTATTCACAGATAATAATTTTTTCATCGCGCACTGAATTAATTTCTGCGCACTTTATTTTAATTAACTTTGCACAATGTGGCCCCTGTAATTCATTCAGTGCGCGATGAAATCTATCTGACTGGGCCGCGGTGTGTGATATCACTCCCATGTTAAAACTCCATTCAATTTTGAATTATGCGCAGGTCCCCTATCGCTTTCCGTAGGTTTCTGCTACATTTTCACTGCAATATGCGTTAATACATTTTACTTTACTATTGGAAAAGTTGTTTTGGGGTTCAAGTGAATTATTTTAATATAAATTGGAAAGACACATTTTTTCAATTTTGAACTTAGTTTTACTACAGTTGTTAGGCGTGGTAAATTTTGTGCTTTGTTTTATAACACTTGTCCATTCCATTTAGCAGCTGGGTATATACATTTCACAAGGGAGATACATGCATACAGGGTGTTCCAAAAGTAACAGGACTGGTGCTGGCATTTTGTCAATTTTTCACCGAGTGTCTTATGGCAATTAAAATTGTAAAGTTTCAGAAAAATGATGAAATGTTGATAGGGTTATGGTTACTATAGTAACGTGACATCACAATACCCGGGGCAACTTTTCATGAAAATGTAATATCTAACATTCAGATCAGCTGTACCGAAGGAGTGGAAACGTTTATTGAAGCGAGACTTAAAGGCAGAATCAGATCTATAGGGGGTGACAAAATTGCAAGCAACTTGTATAATTGACCTACCAATCTTTTCCTTACAATATCAAAAACAATATCTCCCAAAAGATTCACAATATGTTATAAATTGGTGAAGTTATTAATGATTCAAGGTCCAAAAATGGGTGAAAAATGTTTAAATACTCCCAAATAATAAGAATGGTAACCATTCTTATAGAAAAATAATAAATCATTGTAAAATTCTTTAGTTTTCCTCGAATAAAGTGTGCACTTTTGTGATTTTTTAGAAAATAGACATGACAAGGAATGACATGAGCCAAAAATATTCTAAAATTGAAACAATTTTTTGTTTAGCCTGTTCGCTATATCTGATTCTCTCTTTAACTTCTGTCTTTGAACCGCGCCTACAGACGGATCTTGTTCATTTCACACTTGGCGGAAAACCAGTGTCATTGAATGGTTTAACAGTTAAGTCAATACTAAAAAATAAATAGAAACAAATATTTGGAACCATTGTATAAAGATGAACATAATCGTGAGTTAAAAAGAACAGACTACTTTAAAATGGCTTATAATTGCACGAAACAAAATAAAATTCGACAACTCCAATTTAAGATTCTTCATGGTATGTGTACCACAAATGCTTACTTAACGCAGATAGGAATTAAACAGGATGCTAAATGTAGTTATTGTCCACTAAGAAACACCTTAAAGCACACGTTTTGGGAATGTAGACGGGTTCAGATTTTTTGAAAGCTATTAAAGAGAATTTAGAGAAATTATTTAATGTAAATCTTGATTTTAATGCCCATGATATGGTGTACGGAAGATCTGTAAATAATGTTAACATCTTGCTAAATAGGCTATCACTAGCAATCAAATATTATACAGGGCGTTCCAAAAGTAACAGGACTGGTGGTGGCATTTTGTCAATTTTGCACTGAGTATCTTTAAATTTTCACAAATTGTACTTTAAAGTATTGCAACTAAAATTGTAAAGTTTCTGAAAAAAGGCGGTTAGAGTTATGGTTACTATAGAAACATGACATCACAATACCCGGGGCAACTTTTCTGTGAAAATGTGATATCTAATATTTTTATATTACTGAAGAAAGTATCTAATTCACCTATTATAATACAACATTTCTTGTTTATTTTATTAGTTCCTTTGTTGTAAAGGTATTGCTATATAATACAACTCAGATTCAAGTATAATTTCATAATGATAGTAATATTTATTCAATTTCCTGGAATATCACTATGTATAACAGTCTGAACAATTCACGGTTGAGTTTTTGAAAAGACTCAGATTGAAGCCAGTCATCTACCTTGATAGTGCGCCTGCCCACAGGTCACCATTTAAGACTATGCAGCTATAGAGGAGCTAGGTCTTGAGGTCTAAAACCATTCACCATACTCCTCTGATCATGCAATATCTACTTTTTACTACTATTTTTACTTATATTGAGAACGGAATGCTAATCAGTGCTGTAAGACCTTTAAAGATGAGAATGACCTTCTCCAAATTGTCGAATCGGCCCTGCGTGACATGTCCTCAAATGGGTTCACTCATGTGTTTGAGTCATGGATACAGAGTACTACTCTTGAACTCACCAAAGAGGAGCCTATTTTTCAAAGTAGAGGATACATAGGAATATCAAATGATGTAAAACAAATGTAATTCCCACAAATTGTTGCATTTCAACTTTGATATGACATGTACAAAATGCTTAATGTCTCTGTAACTTTTTGCGTGGAATGTTGCCCTGGGTATTGTGATGTCATGTTACTATAGCAACCATAACTCTACCCGAGTTTCATATATTTTGTAGAAACTTTGCAGTCTTAGTAACGATACATGAAAGTACATTATGTAAAACAATTTAATGAGGTAAATCCAAACTTGGACGTGACTCAATTTGAAAATACTATGTTTTTATATATTCAATAACTTTTGGGTATGACTGTTGCGAATGTCTGAATGAATGGAGGTGGTGTGAAAGTGGCTTAATATTTCATCTTTGCCTTGTTAAATGCATTACTTCATGTTTGATTCAATAAAAAAAGAAGAAAATCTAACATTTTTGTACTATTGAAGAAAGTATCTAATTCACTTATTATAATACAACACTTCTTGTTTATTTTATTAGTTGCTTTGTTGTAAAGGTGTTGCTATACAACTCAGATTCAAGTATAATTTCATTTTAATAATATTTATTCAATTTCCTGGAATACTAGTATCACTATGTATAACAGTCTGAACAATTTACGGTTGAGTTTTTGAAAAGACCCAGATTGAAGCCAGTCATCTACCTTGATAGTACGCCTGCCCACAGGTCACCATTTAAGACCATATGCAGCTATATAGAGGAGCTAGATCTTGAGGTCTAAAACCATGCACCATACTCTTCTGATCATACAATATCTAATTCTTACTTATATTGAGAACGGAGTGCTAATATTAATCAGTGCTGTAAGACCTTTAAAGATGAGAATGACCTTTACCAAATTGTCCAATCGATCCTGCGTGACATGTCCTCAAATGGGTTCACTCATCGGTTTAGGTCATGGATACACTCTTGTACTGACCAAGAGGAGCCTATTTTTCAAAGTAGAGGATACATAGGAATATCAAATGATGTAAAACATATGTTATTCCCGCCAGTTGTTGCATTTCAACTTTGATATGGGATGTACAAAATGCTTAAAGTCTTTGTAACTTTCTGCGTGGAATGTTGCCCTGGGTATTGCGATGTCATGTTACTATAGCAACTATAACTCTACCTGAGTTTCATATATGTTGTCGAAAAGTACATGAAAGTACATTTTGTTAAATTTTGAAGACGATTGGTGCATATTTAACAAAATGCCAGCACCAGTCCTGTTACTTTTGGTACACCCTGTATGTATCAAACTTTCTTAAAAAGTCAAAATTAGTTCAAGTAACATCAGGGGGGGGTTTTCAATTAAAAAACTACATATATTACTTTGTTAACCAGAAAGGTATAATAAATGTGATAGATGTATATAGGATCTACCTTTTTAGGGCAAAAAACATGAGTGAATACCTTTTCTAAATCTGGTGGTCTAAAATTTGAAGAAATTGAATTTTGAAAAAGGGGGAGAGGAGACAATACACAGTCTAGGACCTAAACACTGAATAAATTATAATTTTAATAGATTCAATGATTAAGCATCCTAGAAAATACCTTTGGCAATAATACAAATGTTGTGAATATACTCCCAAAATTTCAAAAGCGGCAGCCACATTGAAGAAAATGTTTTGCTTAAAACTATCCACCAATATACATCTTTCAACCAAATATGAAACAAATCCGTCCACAAGTACTCGAGTTATCTTCTGGACGGACGAACGGACCGACGAAGGGCCTCACTATATCCCTACCGACCTTTGTATAATAAGTCGAATACAGCAAGTGCAATTATGTGTTTTTCAGTTAGCAGCGATAGCTCCAAATATTTCATTGATGAATGTTACGGTGGGTGATATCAAAACAAAAGATAAAAAGGGAGACATAACAAAAGAGCTTCGACAAGAAATTGATGATATAGCCTTGACTGGACGGTTGCTTACGGCCATTTTCATCGCATCGTTGATATGGTTACCTTTGATCGTTGCCCTGGTGTCACATCATATTATGAATTACGGGAGAGATTTTTGGGCGTTTGCTAATCTACTCGGTCACATGCAGTCGGGATTAGATTGTTTGTGTTACGTCATTATCAGCAAGTATTTTAGGAGGGGCTATAAGAACGCTATACGTTTGATTTTCTGTTGCAAGAAGAGACAGATGTACGCTGCAGTTGAAAATGTATAAACAGTGTAAGTGCAAAAGATCTTAAACACGATCACAAATAAGATTCAATAAAAATATCGGACTACTTATAATAACCGTTTTCTTCGTTGCCAACTATGAGGAGCTTAATTTAGTACTCATGGGGTTACGCATGAGGATGTTTCCTGGCCAAAGTCGAAAATGATGAACGCATGAACAGACCCTTGAGTTTTCTTTTCAAATTACATACAAGTACAGACCATAAGTGACTCTGTGAGTTTAAGAAAAGGTTAATTACTCCAAAGTGTGTTTTATGAACATCTTTTATTTACATTCAATTCAACGAGGAAGTGCCCCGTCCAGGTCAAATATTGACACTTAATAGTAGCTAGAAAGAACACAGTAGTAGCATATGCTTTTTATATCCTTTGTAGCCCATTAGAATCTCAGAAAACCATACTTGAGATTAACTGTTAAATATAATTTGAAATCATTTATAATAGGTCTATCGGATGCATTTTCGGTACTAAATACCGTAAACAATGCATTCATGTGTCTTTTATATAGTGTAATGTTTAACACTATAGTTATTTGTTGTTGCACATTGAGCTTTACTATAATATTGTACATTAAAGTAGATTTAGCTTTAGTCCGCGATGATGTTATACTCTAAAACCTTAAACCACGAGTGCTGTGCATTTGCATGATCGGACCACATCTGGGCCTCCAATTCATTTTTTTAATGATTAATTAATTTACAATAATCTTTGCAGTTTCAGTTCTTGAAACGTGTACCTTGGTAATAAAACGTTGAACCTCTCTATTTTTCTTGTTATTGTCATTACAAAAAGTCATGGGTGTCGAGTCGAAGGTGACAGCCAACAATAATCGGACCTACAACCCTGGGTTGTTATTTTTCATATTTCATGCCCAGTTTGATTATTCCATATATCTGTTAATGTAAATATTTTTATTTCAATTCATTGTATTTCAATTTATTTTATCATGCTGATTAAATCGTCTGTAAATGGAGGACTTAAGGTCCCAATTGAGGATAAGATATGATTATGCTAACAGTAAATGGCCAGGGACAAGATAAATCAAGTTAAATAGGGTAAAGAAGTTAGTTTTGAACAGAAATAGACGGCTAAGTCAAGTGACGTAATTTTGCAAACTTTGAGAATCTACATCATTTCTTAGTTGCTATCGTTGATCCCAACCAGATATATTCAGAATTATGTCTCATTTTGTGCAGTGAATATTACCAGCTTAAGGTAGCATACTAATTTTGCAATGTTTTAGTTGAGGATATAATAGACATTCATAGCCATTTGTGTACTTTTACTACTTTGAACATTTGCCAAAAGGTGGCGTGTTTGTGGAGCATCTATATGTAGTTAGCTGTGTGTATTATCTATTAAAGGTCAGAATGGTAATAAGATTGAAAACTGTTTTGTTTGGTATTAACAGTATCTTTAGCAGTTATGTCCCTATCATTGAATATATGCCTGAGGTCTGTCACCAATATAGCCCGAGCTTGCGAGGGTTATATTACGACAGACCGAAGGCATATATTCAATGATACGGACATAACTGTTGTATTACATACTTTTATATCATGGCTACGTTATATCAATGACGCCACGTGTCTGTGTGCGAGTGAAATTAGGAAGAAATGAAACATGACGTCCCGATGACGTCATAAGATTGTCATGGTAAAAGGTTTGGCGGCTATACAGGAATATATAGCCGACCTTCAGCTCCATTGACTTCAATACAAATGCTTCGCTGGGTATGTAATACTGTTTGATAAACCATCTGAAAGACCTTGGCACCATTGTAAAAACTCATTGTACATATTTCATACTTATAGTTGGTTACATAATATATATATTTTAATTCAAATTATATTTTATGTTATTATTGAGATCAGTGTGACGGCTAGGTGTCAGTAAAAAGTAGATTAAAATTCCGACTAGGCGAGTGTGACCCCCTGTTGTTACAATATTATAATTCTAAAAATATTGCTATTTGAAAAATCGTAAAAATGTATCTTTGTTAAAATCCGTAGATCTTTTGTTAAAATGTGAAGATGTGCATCCGTACAGTGCAGAATCTTGCCCGTTTGAATCGTATTATCAGTACAACTCGCACAATTTACCTAACATTACTACAAACACAAATTTCAAAAAGGCCTTAGTTAAGCTTTAGTGTCCTGTTTAAGAACCCCTATTCTAACTTTCGAAAATGAATTCTAGCAATAGTATCCAACAGGAATCTACTTGTTGGGATTCCATCAACTTGAGTTCTTCTGATAACGAGGATTTCAGCAAGGGTGGATTGACTTTACATGGTGACATACCTGATGGTACCGCCACGCTAAGTCAATGGTCAATGGTGCATGTTCCCATGTTGAGCCAATGTACCCTGGCTTAAATCCCAATTTTACTCAAGTTGATCGCGTCAAAAAAAGGTAAATTCACATGGGATAGTAATGGTAGAATCCGTTTTCAAAAGTAAGAATATGGGTTCTCATACAGGACATTGGACTTTTACACTTGTACAGTAAATTGAAGGGGATATATTTAAATATCTAATAGTACATTTCTAATGAATGCTAAGTTACTGATCAGTATGTCAGTAGTACCTTACATATTTTTACTTTCACAAGTGTGCATATTAATCAGTGGTGTGAATCACAGTCAGTACATGCTCTGACGAGTGTGCATCTCAATAAGTGCATACTCTCCTGAGTGTACAAAGTAATACATATATGCTTTCACGTGTGTGCATCACAATCAATACATGCTGTCACCGGCTGTGTATTCTAATCACTACATACTCTCATGAAGGTACATAGTAATCAATATATGCTCTCTCAAGTGTGTATAGTAATCAATAGATGCTCTCACGGGTGGGTATTACAATCAGTACATGCTCTCACGGCTGTGTATTCTAATTAGTATACAATGGTACATGCTCTCACTGGTGTGTGCATCCTAATCACTACATACTCTCACGAGTATACGTCCTAATCAGTACATGCTCTCACGGGTTTGCATCACAATCAGTGCATGCTCTCACGGGTGTGCATCACAATCAGTACATGCTCTCACAAATTCACAAATCGTGTGAGAAAATGCATTATTCCTGAATGGAGGAAACAGACTATAATAAAGGTAGGTAGAGACTCAAAGTGCGCTCCTTGATGCAAAAAGAATGACCACATTTGTCCAGAGGTTCAAATACATCATTGGAAAGGTGAGAGTGACAACTTAAAGAATCTGACCATTTGGATGTTAGATTGTTGCAAAAAGATAGAAATTATAACCGACAAAACCGGAAATTCTTTTGAACCAAGTATGCTCTTTTACTGGACGTAATAACTACTAGGCTTATGGTAGACATACATTTGATTTTATTGTCACATCTGAGAAATGTATAATGGTTCATCCCGCCTATCAATAGAATAAAACTGTTTTTGCATTAATTTATCGGTTAACGAGTTGCTCATAGCAATACATAATAATATAAAACTAGTATAGCTTTATATTGTACCATTTGTGAATTGGTAACTTGGACACCTGCAAGACATATAAAGTGAGAAATGTCAGACCAACCTACTCAAAGCCTAGTGATAATAAGTCACAGAGCTGTGTTAGCAACACAAAAAAACTAACAAGAGGGAGGAATGGAGTTTCATCTAGTGCCCTTAGTCGGAGTAAATGCAACGAATGCATCTGATCAAAGTTTCCAATGGACTTACCCTCCTTATGTTGAACAATCCCCCGGAAAGTTTGCAGTTTTAATATTCTTCGCAGTAACATTTTCCGTACTGGGAGTATTTGGAAACCTTCTTGCAATAATTTCAGTTGCACGAGAGAAAGTAAGTATAAATCATTTAGTTGAATTATTTATTATATACCCTATATGTATTCTAGATACTCATTGGCTTATTCATGGTCACGTGATGTGAAATAGATGAAATAATTCCCTGGATTCCTAAATCCATGCTAACAGGGAAGAAAAATGTACTAATCACCAGTAGGTCATGTGACAAGTCATTCGTACCTTTTATCTTCCCTGCTAGCTGGGATTATAGGAGTTGAATGGCAAAATGCCTTTAAAGCCACACACATACATTTTACCTATATTATAAAACCCCAAAAAGTAATAAATATGACACTGTGTTAAATAAAAATGAGATACACAATATATATAGTGACTCAGGTTACGAAATAAAGAAAAACAAGGCACAGACGTGAACAATATCGTACCTAAAACACAGCATTGTGGTCTTGTTGACCAAGAAAGCAAGATGGCCGCAGAAAAGTTGATCAGCTCTGGAACTTATCACTGTGTAACATATGTAAAAATTTGAACTATTTGGCTGGAAACCTGTAGAAAAGCCTCGATAGACAAGATTAAAGGACGGAAAATCTAAAATGGCAGCCTTAACATTTACCCAGAATGCCCAAAAACCAATCAGTTCTTGACGTTGATATGTAGAAACATCCCTGAAAATTTCAGATGAATCCCTCAAATGGTTTGGCTGGAAACCTGTAGACAAGTCTTGAAAGTGAAGATTTTAGGACAGAAAATCCAAAATGGCCACCTTAAAATTTACCCAGAATGCCCAAAAACCAATCAGTTCTTGACGTTGATATGTAGAAACATCCCTGAAAATTTCAGATGAATCCCTCAAATGGTTTGGCTGGAAACCTGTAGACAAGTCTTGAAAGTGAAGATTTTAGGACAGAAAATCCAAAATGGCCACCTTAAAATTTACCCAGAATGCCCAAAAACCAATCAGTTCTTGACGTTGATATGTAGAAACATCCCTGAAAATTTCAGATGAATCCCTCAAATGGTTTGGCTGGAAACCTGTAGACAAGTCTTGAAAGTGAAGATTTTAGGACAGAAAATCCAAAATGGCCACCTTAAAATTTACCTAGAATGCCCAAAAACCAGTCAGTTCTTGACGTTGATATGTAGAAACATCCCTGAAAATTTCAGATGAATCCCTCAAATGGTTTGGCTGGAAACCTGTAGACAAGTCTTGAAAGTGAAG